GTCTGAAATTACATTCAGCAATGCTCATGCTCAAACATCAGTACCATGTGCAAGAGGTCTTAGGAGGGGGGAACACAAAGAAGAACGTCGGATCTGCTCGATCTACACCTTATAGTTTTGTGTAGAGTTGATTCATGATAATTCACTATTAAGCTTTCTGAATGAATCAGATAAATGTCTTACGGTCAAAGCCGTTATGTCATTGCATGCTTGTGGCAGAAAAATGCTCCATGATCTGCTTATATTTTCATGCCAATCATTTTAAAAGCAACCAACATTATGCTACTTTTATGCTCCGTCCACACCTATGCAGTTTAACTTTTGTCCATTTTGCAGTGCTTTTTGCAGTTCGTTTTATGTTTTTCTACATGCGTTTTTTGCCACGTTTTGTTCAGTTTTTTTTTTTTTTTTTTTTAAAGTGGAATTTTTTTTGCTGGGCAGAATAAAAATGCAAAATGCTGCAAAAAAAAAAAAAAAAAAAAAAAAAAAAACGACAAAAATGCACTACCATGCATTTCAGCAGATTCTCCATTGTAGCAAAAATGCTGATTTTTGCTTTTATAAAAGTCCCTGACCCTTTCCAAAAACGCAGCAGCTTAAAAAAGCATAGATGTGAGCATGTTCCATAGGAAATCATGTTAAATGGACAGTAGTGCATTTCTGCAAAAAGCACTAAAAAAAAAAAACAAACGCATTGGTGTGCACGGAGCCTTAGATAATTAAAACCCTAACACAACGTAAAGTGCAAAGAGCAGTGATGATAATGTATCAAGGTATCTAAAATAATAATTCTATTCCAAACAGCAAATTCAAACTTTCACTGCAAAACGACCCACAGAGTGAAAGGCAAACTTACTCTACATAGCCAGTGTAGGATATGGACAGTTTTTTATGCTAGATACTTAGGCTAAAAGTGGGCTACAGCAATTGTTTTATCAAACGCTGACCAAACAATGGTCAATCTTTCATCAGATGCAGAAAATTAATTGTAAAATGTCTAAGCACTTATCACTGAGGCCACACGTTCAAATACTGACTGAAGAGAAGGGTTACTAAACCCACAACAGTAAAATCAGTCTGTATATGCAGTAAAGCATGCTTGTTATACTCACTGTGGAACCTAAGGGGAAAATCCTCTGCAATGTGTAAAAAGGCTGTTTGATCCTGACTTCTCTGCCCCTCCTCTTGTTCAAATGTTCACGCTAAGACAGACTGAACCCGTAGCCCTTCTGCACATGCTCAGTTTAGTGTGTATTGCTAGAGATTTTTTTTTTTTTTTTTAATCTTGGGAGAGTGCATGTGATCGGAACAGGGCCAGTCAGCACTGTCCAGACAGAGGGTCAGGGGTCCTGCATCTTCATAGAATAGAAAGAAAACTCCTTTTACAACTTTACCCAGTGCTCACCTGAAGTCACAAGACTGCTCTAACTTCTTATGAGAAAAGGTATTTAGCAGTTCATATTTACTAAATAATTACATTTCCATGTTGTATGTACTGTGGGAGACCAGGTATAGTGAATGCAGGGTCCTGGGTTTAGTAACACTTTAAGCAAGTCACTTTTTACAGGATTTGAGAGAAGCTGGAAAATGTACGTCACTGTCACTAAAGTAGGCAGAGAAGTCATGAATGAAGGAAACAGACCCATATTTTGTTTGACGCATTTTTGCATAAGCACTCCCTCATTCTTTATGTTCTGTCAGACGTAATTAGAAATCAGAAATAAAGCTTACAAGAAAAAAGAAAAAAAAATTGCAATATATGATCAGTAGTTCTAGCTTTTCAAAGCCGGAGTTTTACTTAGAGTAAATAAGGGTGTGTAGAGAGAAACTACATCTTTGCAGCTAATGGTTGCTCTGGTGTTTCAGGGGTTTTTCAAATGCAGTGTAGTATAGGTAATTTAGCTGATAGTTATCTGTTTTCAGCAGATGGTAAGGGTGTGGGTGTATGACTGGCTAAAAGTTCAGTACAACATGAAGGATTCCTTTCATAAAAGTTCAGTATTTGAACACAGTAAATAACAAAAGAAATATTTAATTTAACAAAAAGGAGGCAAAAAAAACTGCATCACTGTCACTTCCCTATCATTTACCGGCCTTTAAAAAAAAAAAAAAAAAAAAACACAACAACAAAAAACAGTGTTGGCAGAACAGAAATATAGAAGTGGTTTCCATTATTACAATACCGTGGGCTTGTACTTTAAAAATGTTCTTGCATTGACACTGAAGTCCCCCCCCATAGAAGCCACAATTTTAAACTTCATATCCAGCTGTACTATGGGCGCAATTACATCTAGAAAGGATAAAAACAGATTTGTGCCTGCCATACATGCAACAATAAATGAGTGATTATGGATCTGAAAGTTTCAAAAGACCTCACATTCAAAATTGACTATTCAACGCAAAAGCCTTAGTCAAAATTAAATATATTGCTCCCACCAGCAAATGTTTATTTTCAAGAGAAACATACATGATTTTTGACCAAATCACCCATTTAGTGCAACTGACTTCTGAAAGCCAGTTATTTTTATAGAGGCGACTGATACAGGTAAAAATAGAACTTATAAAAGTCTCAGTATGAGGTGTAAAATCAACATACCTTCTTTTATCAACTACAAGCAGGATGTTGTTGGGAGAGAAGCATTACAGAAGCTGAACCACCAAATGTTGGAGAATTTACACACTGCAAAAAAATACATTGTAAGGCCAGGTTCACATATGTGCGGCCATGCAGGCCGCGATTTGTGCGGGCATGACAGCCCATTCATTTGAATGGACTCCCATGCCCCGGGACACACAGGGAAGAAAGTCCCTGCACTTCTTCAGAAATCGCAGTCCGCATGGGAACTGAAGTTCCCAGTACGGTTGCGATTTCCAGTGCGGGCAGCGTGCCGTTAGAATAGCACCCGCCCGTGGGTCCCGCATTCCTCTGTGTGGGTGGTGTGGCTGCAGGTATTTGTACGGGTCCCTCAGCGGCACCACCAGCACAGATATAAACCAAGCCTCAATTTTAGACTGGTATACAAAGGGTAAGCCAGGCTATGTCACATCAACTAAAACAGCTGTTTTTCACCAAGGATACAATTTACAGTCTCTATGCTCCCACTATGTTCATAGTGATTTATTCCAGATGTTCCAATTTCCTACACAAAACATTAATATGCTAGTAAGAGAACGGTCTTACTTATAAAACTACACGGGTGCATGCATGTATAGCCTGCATGATTGTTGAACACACAGGTTTTACAGTTTATCTTCGGGCAGATAAATTAACAGCTTGTGCTGACAGGCTTTGGGCTTCTGTCAATGGCTTCTGGGATCATTGACAGGTGACTTTGACCTACAGTTGACTTGACCTGCATTTGATTGGCTTAAAACAGGTTTACATTCACATTGAATTGTATAGGAATGCAGAATCTGCTTTAAGTGAACATAAGCCCTTATGTAGGTTTTAATTAATACTGTACATCATTAAAGGTATTACTTTTTAATGCCAACAGTGTAAGCACACATCATTGACTTGATATCTGCCACTTGCAATCCACTTCGGAGAAGCAGCACAAGAAACGAGATGGTTGTTCTGCAGTGATCATGTACTAAAAAAGCATGCTGTTGGAGGAGAGAACAAAGTAACAGAGATGACTTTATTTGTGTGCTGCTTTTCCTTTCACTGTCCAGACGTGCTGGGGATGGGACAAGATTTGTACATGTTAAGTAACTGCAGCAAAAAAAACTCATGCCCTCTGAGACAAGGCTGTGGTGTGTGGCAGAACTGAGTAAAGACTGAAAAGAACTACAAATACTTTAGCAGGTAAAAGAGCTGACTCTGAAGTCATCTGGAGGCTTTATAGTTTGACAGGACAAAAAAACAAAAATCGAATTTGAATTGCCTTTAAATTCCTTATCTTGTAGTACAGTACAAGACACAGGGTTGTAGTCATAAATAGAGATGAGCGAATTATTCAAAAATTCGATTCGGCTGATTCGGCGAATTCGCGGAATAAATTCGATTCGAGTCGAATATATTCGCTGCGAATTTAACATATAAAAAGGGTGTTTCTAGGCTTCAGAGAGCCTTTATATTAGTGCAGAACACTGTACCTTTAATTTAAATGCCCTTGGATCTGCTGGGGAAGAGAAATAATACTGTCAGTCAGTATGACATGCAGATGAGTGCCGTCGATCTTAGAATCATCGCACACTTCACTCATTTGGGCAGTCACGGGGCCAAAACCAGAGTGTGGAGCCACAGTGTGGCGGTGGAGGCAGCAGCAGCAATGGGAGGCCATACAGCAACCTATGACAAAATGGAACCCACCAGCAGTGTGAGGAGACCTGAAAGTGGCACATGGCAGAGTGTGGCGATGAAGACAGCAGCAATGGGAGGCCGTACAGGGACCCATGACACACTCTGGACCTGGCAGCAGCATGAGGAGGCGGTACAGGGGCCCATGACAGATTACGGGCCTGGCAGCAGCATGAGGAGTCGGTACGGGGGCCCATGGCAGATTACGGGCCTGGCAGCAGCAATGGGAGGCCATACAGCACCCTATGACAAAATGGAACCCACCAGCAGTGTGAGGAGACCTGAAAGTGGCACATGGCAGAGTGTGGCGATGGAGACAGCAGCAATGGGAGGCCGTACAGGGACCCATGACACACTCTGGACCTGGCAGCAGCATGAGGAGGCGGTACAGGGGCCCATGACAGATTACGGGCCTGGCAGCAGCATGAGGAGTCGGTACGGGGGCCCATGGCAGATTACGGGCCTGGCAGCAGCAATGGGAGGCCGTACAGGGACCCATGACACACTCTGGACCTGGCAGCAGCATGAGGAGGCGGTACAGGGGCCCATGACAGATTACGGGCCAGGCAGCAGCATGAGGAGTCGGTACGGGGGCCCATGGCAGATTACGGGCCTGGCAGCAGCAATGGGAGGCCCGTAATCTGCCAGCACCCTATGACAAAATGGAACCCACCAGCAGTGTGAGGAGACCTGAAAGTGGCACATGGCAGAGTGTGGCGATGGAGACAGCAGCAATGGGAGGCCGTACAGGGACCCATGACACACTCTGGACCTGGCAGCAGCATGAGGAGGCGGTACAGGGGCCCATGACAGATTACGGGCCTGGCAGCAGCATGAGGAGTCGGTACGGGGGCCCATGGCAGATTACGGGCCTGGCAGCAGCAATGGGAGGCCCGTAATCTGCCAGCACCCTATGACAAAATGGAACCCACCAGCAGTGTGAGGAGACCTGAAAGTGGCACATGGCAGAGTGTGGCGATGGAGACAGCAGCAATGGGAGGCCGTACAGGGACCCATGACACACTCTGGACTTGGCAGCAGCATGAGGAGGCGGTACAGGGGCCCATGACAGATTACGGGCCTGGCAGCAGCATGAAGAGTCGGTACGGGGGCCCATGGCAGATTACGGGCCTGGCAGCAGCAATGGGAGGCCGTACAGGGACCCATGACACACTCTGGACCTAGCAGCAGCATGAGTTGTCGGTACGGGGGCACATGGCAGATTACGGGCCTGGCAGCAGCAATGGGAGGCCCGTAATCTGCCAGCACCCTATGACAAAATGGAACCCACCAGCAGTGTGAGGAGACCTGAAAGTGGCACATGGCAGAGTGTGGCGATGGAGACAGCAGCAATGGGAGGCCGTACAGGGACCCATGACACACTCTGGACCTGGCAGCAGCATGAGGAGGCGGTACAGGGGCCCATGACAGATTACGGGCCTGGCAGCAGCAATGGGAGGCCCGTAATCTGCCAGCACCCTATGACAAAATGGAACCCACCAGCAGTGTGAGGAGACCTGAAAGTGGCACATGGCAGAGTGTGGCGATGGAGACAGCAGCAATGGGAGGCCGTACAGGGACCCATGACACACTCTGGACCTGGCAGCAGCAAGAGGAGGAGGTACAGGGGCCCATGGCAGAGTGGCGAAGCGTAAGCAGCTTAAATTGAAGGCCATACAGAGGCCTATGTTAAAAATAATAACATGTTTGGGGCATGATTCATGGCGGATTTAGTCAGTTGTGTCAGGAACTGGTGGTTTGAAATCCAGACTAATCCACGCCTGATTCATTTTCACAAACGTGAGTCTCTCCACACTTTGGGTGGACAGTCGTGTCCTCCGCGGAGTTACAATACCTCCTGCCGCACTAAACACGCGCTCCGATGCCACGCTACTGGCCGGGCATGACAGCCTTTCAAGGGCAAATTCAGCTAGTTGGGGCCAAAGGTCAAGTTTTGTTGCCCAGTAGTCAAGGGGATTGTCTACCTCGGTTGGCAGGGTGCTGTCCAAGTAGGCCCAAGCCTGTTGTTTGAGGTCCTGCTCCAGGTCCACCTGATGCTGCTGCTGCTGCTGCGGCTGGTTAGTAGTTTCCTCACTGCGCTGGTGAAGAAAGCTACTCATCATCGACTGCAGACTGAGGCTGCTGGTGGAGCTGCCACTGCTCCTACCACCCCACCCCTCCCCTGCTGCCATGGCAGCGGAACGCGAGCGCACAGGGCCCACAGTGTCTGAGGATGGACGTTGGCGCAGAAAGGCAGAGACCAAACTGACTACATAGGTGGTTTTTATAGTACGTTATTTTGGCCTCCCTCTCAGCAGGTGTGAAAAAGGCCACCATTTTTGAACGGTAGCGAGGGTCCAACAAGGTGGACAGCCAAAAGTCATCCCTCTGTCTGATGGTTATTATTCGGCTGTCGCTACGCAAGCAACCGAGCATGCTATGGGCCATTTGTGCCAAGGAATGCGAGGGACTCCCTGCCTCCATCTCCACAGCATACTGCCATGGTGCGTCTGGGTCCTCTGTCTCCTCCTCCTCCTCCTCCTCTACCAGATGCTCCTGCTCCTCCACTCCTGTCCGCTGAATGGAAAAACCACCCATTTCACTCAATAATTCCTGAGCACCAATGTCCTCCTCTACCTCCTCCTCTTCTTCCTGTCCTGCCCCCACAGGGGTCATGTGGCGTTGAGATCTGTGCGCCACGTCTACCGCACCCTGACCAACCATTGTTAACAGCATTTGTTCCAGGACGTGCAACAGAGGAATGACGTCGTTCATCCCATAGTCCTGCCGACTCACGAATAGCGTGGCCTCCTCAAAGGGCCTGAGCAAGCGGCAGGTGTCACGCATGAGCTGCCAATGGCTGACATCTAAGTTACACAGGGGAGTACCTTTATCCGCTTGTAACATCAGGAAATCGGTGATGGCCTTTCGCTGTTCGTAAAGGCGGTCTAACATATGTAGGGTTGAATTCCACCTTGTTGCAACGTCGCAGATCAGGCGATGCTGTGGAATTCCGTTCTGCCGCTGCAGCTCAAGGAGGGTGTGCTTTGCGGTGTAGGAATGGCTGAAATGCATGCAAAGTTTACGTGACATTTTAAGGATGTCTTGCAGTGGGATGGTGGATTTTAGGAACCGCTTGACAACCAGATTGAACACGTGAGCCATGCATGGCGCATGGCACAACCTTCCTTGACGCAGAGCAGACACCATGTTCTTTCCGTTGTCTGTCAACATGGTTCCGATTTTCAGTTTGCGCGGAGACAGCCATCTGTCGATTTCTCTGTTCATTACACTGAGAAGTTCCTCCCCTGTGTGACTACGTTCGCCAAGGCATACCAGGTGCAGCACAGCGTGACACCGTTGCGCCCTGCACATGTGATATGCCGGTCGGGTAATGGGACTTGGCACGGGGGTGGCGGCTGAGGACACGGCGGAAGAAGAGGTGGTAGAGGCGGACATCTTTGCTGGACCAAGGACGTGCAAACGTGGAGGCAAAAGCGGCGTGACCTGTCCAAGTTGCTGGTGCGGCTGTGCCGGCACCACGTTCACCCAGTGGGCCGTAAATGACATGTACTGTCCCTGACCGTAGTTACAGCTCCACACGTCGGCGCTGCCGTGCACTTTGGCAGAGACCGACATGCTCAAAGACTGGCCCACCATCTCTTCTACATGTGAATGCAGGGCTGGCACTGCCTTTTTGGCGAAGAAATGCCGGCTTGGCACTCTCCACCGCGGCGCGGCACGGCACAAGCCATCATTTCTCGGAAAGGTGCTGAGTCCACCACTTGGAAAGGGAGGGACTGCAGCACCAGCAACTTGGACAGGAGGACGTTCAGCTTCTGCACCGTCGGGTGCGTGCTCGCAAACTGTTGTCTCTTGGAAACGGATTCCAAGAAAGACTGCTGACGGAATCCATGAAGAGGAGTAGCAGGAGAAGGAGCATCTGAACGAGCGGAAGATGCCAACGAGCGACAACTCCCCTCAGCAGAGGTGTTGGAGCCTTGACTGGCTGATAGAGGGCGATTGACGTCGGGTGACGGAGCAAGTAACGGAGCGGGTGATGGAGCGGGGGCTGGGGCAGGCAGAACCGCCGTATCTTTATCACGGTTTTCCCAGGCCACCGAATGGCGACGCTGCATATGCTGACGCAACGCTGTAGTCCCAACATGGGCCCCCTGGCCACGCTTGACTTTCTGGCCACATAGTCGACATACGGCTACGTTTACTTCCTCGGGCGGCTTGACGAAAAATTGCCACACCGCCGAGTAGGAAACTTTGCCCCCGCTACTCCTCACTGGCTGACTGCTACTTCCTCCGTGCACACCGGCACCACTACTGGCCGTGGTGGTAGGCTGCAGTGGAGCTGGTGCTCTACTCCGTGGCAGTTTGCCTCCACTGACACTGCTGCAACCCTGCTGCCTCCTGGGCAACCCACCGACTGTTTTGCTCGCTGCCAAGCTGGCACCCTCTTCTCCTGATGATGCGGAAGCAATAGCCTGATGACGACGAGGCTGCCAAGTGTGATCAGCCTCATCATCAATTAGGGTCTCCGCCTCACTACTAGCCCCCTCGGCTGCGTGTGGGTCAGGAGACAGACCTGTCTCTAGACCGGCTACCGAGCCACTCTCCTCGCCAGTACTTCTTCGCCTGGCTGCTGAAAGAGGCAGATGTCTCCTCCCGTTCCTGACCGCCCTCTGTTAGCTCTTCCTCACTGTACAGTGGGGCTGAGCCCACAGCATGCGATACTTCGCTTGGTGAGGGAACACCAAAGGACAGGGGCAGGTAGAGGACACGTGATTTCAGTGGGCTTGCTCCCGGGCCATGCCAACTAACGGTTGTGTCTGACGTACCCACCGACCGTTGGCTGTAGGTGTCAGAGGTGACCTGGGAAGAGGAAGACGACTGAGTCAACCAATCGATGACGGCAGGGTTGTCGGTGGAGACACGACCGCTGGATGACACCGGGAGCACTGGCCTCTGGCTGCGACTAGTGCTGCCTCGACCCCTTCCTCTGCTGCCACGTCTGCTCCCTCCTGAAACATTGCCTCCTCTGCCACTCCTCTGCGTGTTGTCTGACATACTCTTTAATTCAACGATTCTGTGTCCCTGAGTAACGATTCTGTGTCCCTGAGTAACGATTCTGTGTCCCTGAGTAACGATTCTGTGTCTCTGAGTAACGATTCTGTGTCCCTCAGTAACGATTCTGTGTCCCTGAGTAACGATTCTGTGTCTGTCCCTGAGTAACGATTCTGTGTCCCTGAGTAACGATTCTGTGTCCCTGAGTAACGATTCTGTGTCCCTGAGTAACGATTCTGTGTCCCTGAGTAACGATTCTGTGTCCCTGAGTAACGATTCTGTGTCTGTCCCTGAGTAACAATTCTGTGTCCCTGAGTAACAATTCTGTGTCCCTGAGTAACAATTCTGTGTCCCTGAGTAACAATTCTGTGTCTGTCCCTGAGTAACAATTCTGTGTCCTTGAGTAACAATTCTGTGTCCCTGAGTAACGATTCTGTGTCCCTCAGTAACAATTCTGTGTCCCTCAGTAACAATTCTGTGTCCCTCAGTAACAATTCTGTGTCCCTCAGTAACAATTCTGTGTCCCTCAGTAAAACAATTCTGTGTCTGTCCCTGAGTAACGATTGTGTCCCTGAGTAATGATTGTGTCCCTGAGTAACAATTCTGTGTCCCTGAGTAACGATTCTGTGGCCCTAAGTAACGATTCTGTGGCCCTAAAGTCTCTCTGGCCCTAACTCTGTCCCTAATACACAGAGGTCTGTCTCTCTTGAATGACCGGAGGCTAATGGAGAATTGTAAGATGGCCGCAATTTATAGCTCCACCATTACACAGTGCTGGCTGGCTGGCTGCTGATTGGCTAATGCGATCACATGTCATGAATGAATGCATTATGGGTCAGCGCGCCTTGTCTGCGCGCCTTCCCAGAGATCCCCGCTCCGTCGCCACACATGTCGCCGCCACTTTTGGAAAAATTCGATTCGTGCATCCGAAGTTTGCTAATTTTCGGATTCGGCGCGAATCGAATTTTTCCTAATCTTCGAAACGAATTCCAGTTCGTCATGTTTGATTCGCTCATCTCTAGTCATCAACCATGGGATATATACAGGCTACCTTCAGATGACTTGACACTGGCAAAGTCCTTTGCTAGGGCAGTCCCTGGTGCATGCTCATCTAAACCCACCCAATTTGTGAGACTCCTGTTTTTTATCAAGCAAAATGGGGTGACCACAGGAAAAGAGGGGAGGGTCATGTGTCCTGTACTGTTGTACTTCAAGATAAGGAATATAACTAGTCAACATTCCTCTGAATCTTACAGTAGAGGATACAGGGTTTTCTAATAGGGAGCGGTGGCCAACAAAATCAGAAACAGAATTGCCAACAGGCCCACA